CTGATAATAAATTTTATACAGTCGTAATTATTTCAGCTTTATAATTTATTTACTAAATAATTTCAAACAAAATGGAATGTCTCGAATTTATAATGTTTCTGGACGGAGTTGCATTTTTCTGCAATACTTTTTTCTGTGTATTTCCAATACATTTTGTAATACGTGATCACTTTTAACATTTTGTGCGTTACTCGACGACAAGCAATAAACACAACAACTTCTTCGTTCATTACGTGCTTGAGTATTTTATACTTTTATTTATCCTTTTAACTTTGTAATTAGAGAATTCGTTTAAAGCACACGCTCACATCGCGGCTTGGCGTTTACTGTCGCCCTCGGTTGCAACCGACCCCTTCGTCGTTGTCGTTTTCGATGCACGATTTTTTCCCCCCTGTCTTTCAGGACTGCGACCGGTCAGCGATCTCGCGCAGATTCACACGGCAATCAGCCTATCTCACGAGGTACGTCCGGGACTCGAATGTCCCAAGAAATCGCAAAAGTATCGATCCGTTCCACGAATGATCCTCGCGACCATCGGTCACCACCGTGGACCAAGAGACGAAAAGTGCGAGTTGCCAGTCTCAATATTCGAAATCGCGATGCGCAAACGTTGGCGAACGATCCCGGGCACTCGCGGCTAACTTGACGTGGATACTGCCGATCGGTACCACTCGATGTTCTGTCATGATCCTGCGTGAGAACGTGACGCGAGGGCAGAACACGCGCTGCCCGTCCTCGGTTCGCACGGGTGGTCTCGCGGACGGGCACGGACTAGGCGCGACGTCGAATCAATTGATCGGCAGGTTCTCGCCCTTGCGAGTCCGCGGACGTAAGGGGGGCGTCTTATCACCGCTCCTTCGCATGTGCGATCTTCCTTCGCCGAGAACGTGGACGGAGTGGCGAGTGACGGAGCTACCTGCTAGGCAGAACGGGGGACACTGCGACACTGATCAGGGCGCCGTGTAACGGGAAGCCCATGAATTTCTCGAGCCCTCTCGCAACCCTCTTTTGCCCTCTCGTTCTGGCACGCGTGCGCCCCGATAGGTCGCTCTTCCTTTCTCTTCTCGCTGCTAGCTGCCACGGCGGGCAGGCCGCCAGCCAGCGGATTTACCTCTTTCTCCGCCTCGCGATTGACGTGTGCATCCGTACTTCCGGTACGCCTTCTTCCCGGCACCGCGGAAGACCCGATGCGATCTTATTCCTTGTTTCGTGCTTTCGGATTCGCGGTAAATGCGCGGATGGCCGAAATTATCGAGTATTTGGGATTCTAGAAAACCTCGCCACCGAGATTTTTTATGAATTCTAATTAGTCAGATCGAGAATACACGCTCTGGGAAAAAAAAGTCAGTTACAATCCATTTTGGGGCCCACAATTAGTAATCGAATTATTTAGATTGTTCGTAACTCTAATCTTTTACGAATTTTATCCCGCGTAACTAAAAATCACAATTAGCTGTTCTGTCTATATCCAAGATATTAAAGTAATACTAATCAATTCTCTCAATTAGTTCTGTCGATATTCAGTAACGCAAAGATAATTTTCACTTAAGTGGCAATAACCGAAATGTTAAGTTACTTAACTACATCAAAAAACGGTCAAAATTTTTCCCAGAGTAGAGTTACGAACAATCCAAATAATTCGATTACTAATGGTGGGCCCCAAAATAGGTTACAACTGTCTTTTTTTCTCAGAGCGGAAAAAAATGTTGTTAAATTAAAAAAAATTGCCTCATGTTTTTCATTCGTTAATACTGATGCCGTTTCAACCAATTTGTTTCAATTATACCGATATTGTTGATACAACATCATCTTTTTTCCCGTGTAGTTATTTTACTGAAAGAGTTAATTTTCTCATTGATGGAAAAACCCCGTGTGAAAACAGCGAGTCTATTGTTACTAAAATAAAAAATCTTCCTAGAAAGGATCTGCCTGATTCTCGCTTAATTGAGGATTGAATTTCGCAAGAACAGAATCAATTGGCATTTAAGCGGATAATCAGATAATCAATTATTCGACTACTCAAGTATGCTGCATATTCTACTATTTCGTTATGATCGATTCATTTAAATTTATAGGACGTACATTGATTGCAGGGATGTCATGTACCGCTTCGATATGTCTTGCACAGGCCATTAATTGCCGTTATTAATTAATCATTCTCGTGCTAATTAAGGCCTTCTGCCTTCCTCCGCTCGTAATTTCTCGCAAAGTCGGTTACGCAACCTAGACTGAATTAAAATGAAAAGCACCCGGTACCCGTTGCCCAATATCGAGGCAAAAGATATCAAAGATCTTCCGTGCCACGAAATAAGTTCGGAATGTCAGCTATTCGATGCTTACGTGCAATTAATTATCCTCTTACTGGCGGCTGTCTTACACTACGTTGCAGCTGCTCCCTTTTTCGATGTTGCAATTTCTCAGAACGTTGTGAAAGCTTAATGATCGCTAAACAAGCTGCTAAGAGACTATTTTCGGCATTGAATCTCTCGGAATTCAATGTTTTTATGTATTGTGACGCGTGCGACGAAAATGGCATAAATGCAGCTCCATCGAGATCTCACTGGCCGCAGTTCTCGGTAGATTGATTTAAACGAATATCTAAAATATCGCGTTTCGAGAGAATTTCCCGCGACAAATTTATGAATGTTTATGTCAATAAACGTAGGGACATTTTGCCATAACGTCGAAGCTTAGCGAAGACTATGTGGCGCTTTCGTAAAATAAAGAAAAACATAGTTCCTGCGCAGCTTTAAAGCGTACCTCCTGATAAAAAAGCGTCAGCGCTGTTACGAGCCGGGGAAATTGATTTATCGGCGTCGATATAATTATTGCAACAACACCTGAGCACATGATAAAAATCTCTGCAATGTTGCAGTATCGGTTATCAATATATCGGAAATTCGGTGGCTGTTCTGCTTTATATAAATAACTGAGAACGCGACGAGAGTTCCTCTCCCGTTAAGCTTCGTCGCGAAATGATGGTCGCGCCTGCCGATGTGCTGCCTGCAACTTGGAGGTATAGGCGTCTATAATGCACACGTTCGTTCGTAATAACGAAGGAGCACGAAGTAATGATCTAAGTTGCGACGATACCAAAGCGACACATAAATACATATGTTACGACTTCTTGGAAGCCCATGAGCTTTGCACGACTTTGTCGAGCAAATTGGATTTGCATATTACAAAGTGCGGTACACTTCAAGAGACAGTTACAACGTTAAGGGAAATAAACGCTTAATCCAATCTTAATTGTTTCATGCATGCAAGAGTAAGGTTTCGCGTCGTGTATACAGAGTAATTACACGTGTATACAGAGTGTCCTCTGGTCCCGATAAAATTCCTCGATTGACCTGAAAGTCTTTGCCTTGTCGTTAGAACGATATCTCCGGAAAATATTGGAGCTATACGAAACAATCGATCACGAACTGTGCTCAGGGAAACGCTTTTCACAAGCGTTACAATTCGTCGCCTTGTGTTACGGCTTATACGTAGCAAAATAGCAGGGTATGCGAAAGAGTACCGTTTACTGCACGATACATCAAGTACTTTAGAAATAAATTTTTCTTAACTGACATAGACTCGGTTGTCGAGTCGTGTCCATTTTTAATACGCTATATGTCTTTTCGTTCCGTTTTACTTCAATGCCACGCATCCATATCGCGAAGCAATTTAATTTTTATTTTCACATGTTGACATAAACGGAGGGAACTTTGCAACGTTATTACTTGAGCTTGACGTGTACGGATTTATTAGACGAGACGTTTTCCAATTTCGCGCTTCGCCGATAATATTAATTTCAGAGATCCCAACGGTCCTTTCTATCGCATATCTTTCTTAAACCGCAGGCTTTTTATCCTGCGGCGATCGCGTAGGTATTCGCTATGAACGTCATTTTGCGAGAGTCCCACGCTGCGGGAGATTTCCGCCTACGAGACTGCGACGCAGTCGGATTGGCGCCAGTCAGGGCTGTATTAATGTAAGGCAGTATGTTAAAAGTACACCCGTATGCAAACAACCTCCTTTCTCTACCCCGCCAGTCTTCCCCACGTACATTGCTGCTCTGCTAAATATTTGAAAGCTCACACGTCTCGTCGCATCTCTCATGCATCGCCTACACGTCACGTGCTGAATGTGAAACGAGAAGATACCGTTCTATTTTAATAAAGGCGGGAGTTATTTATTGTCTACGATAAAAAAAAAACACAAATTAATTTGCCAGGAGTGGCGAAAGTTTGTTCAACGAAACAAGTCTGCATCCGTTTAAAAGAAGAAAGGAAATACTGTTACGCAATAATTTGACAACGAAGTATCACACAAACAATTGTATGGGTTCTATTAATATTGTTACTCTCTCGTAATTGTTGCGTAATTTATTAGTTTTCAACTTTTGATTAATCAAAAGTGAAAATAATAAACTATAGCAATCAATTAAAGACGATTGCTTATTGCGTCAATTACATAATTTGTTTCTTGTAGAAGAAAATACAAAACTCGTCCCAAAGTGATCTAGGAGCATCAGGAAATTCGTTAATTTTACGAGAGTATTTCGTGCCAAAAGCACGTTTCATTTGGTTGGTATCAGCAAATGAGATTTAACTTCTCGACGAACCCTATCTTTAATTCACGAAACTAGATTGCTCCAAGTTGAGCGAAGGTATCTTTGACCCGCCGAGGAACGGTTGACGCTTTCATTTCCGGAAAGCAGTTTTACGCCAATTTCAATTAATGCGTCGGACAAATACATCGCCGTGATGCTTTTAATTTCCTGCCATCTCCCGAAATGATATCAAGATTCTCGATAGCACGAGGGAACGCCAAATTTTCTGCGCGATCGTACAATTACGAGTTTTGTTGCACAATAAAGAATTTCTTTCTTTAACTAATTCCACGTATTAATTATTGCATTGTTGCGATCTTTCGAGATTTTCTACCCGTTTCCCGCACAATTTCCAGTCTCTAACATTGCCTATTAAATTATGATATAAAAATCTTTGACTTACCTGTGCAACTTTTTCTCCCATGTTTGGTGTGTGCATTGCTCCTTGAAAATACTTCGCAGACCCATTGTCTTGTAAGGAAAACTGTAATGAAATGAAGTAGACATTAACAAAGGAGTAATATTGAAAATGACAAAAAATCTATCTCCATACAGTTTTGTTATATTTATTAATTTAATAATTCCATGTTTAATTAATTGAAAAGTAATCTTAAGTAAAGGAATGGAAACGCACGAATAACGCTCGTGCTTTTACGCATGGTAAACAACTTACTTTGTGTTTGATGGAGTCCGGTCCCATCTGACTCAGAGACGGCGACTTCCTGTCCCTGGACGTCCGCCATTTCTGCAAATCGCTTTCGGAAGCGACGCCAGGAAAGATTTTCGAATGTTTTGCGGCTACAAGAAACGAATGGCCGATGTAAGTCTCCAAAAGTCATGTTGCGCGAAAGGCGAAGTGATATCGTTGTTATCATTAATCCAAAATCTATAGGCGCGAAATACAGGCTCGATCAAATCAAATCTATACGAGTCTCAGTGAATTTTTGAAACTGACGACAGCGAGTCTAATGAGCTAAGTCACAAGACCAATCGTTTGTACTATACCGCTAATCGATATATTTAACGATTATGAAAAAAGCTGATGATGTAATAATCTAGTACGAATACTGATACGTGTACAGTAAATACGTGTCTTAAACGACATAATTCTTCCGGTTAAGTTTTCAATTCATTTACAGAGAGTATGTATACTAATCTAGTATAAATACAACGGTACAACGAAACGATCATACCACATTTAAATAAATTTTATATTATTCTTCTGCTTAACAGTGTCTTGTGATCAACTTAAACATTGTGTAAAAAAATATTTAGAGGATACGTTTGTTAGATGACGTATGCATTTAGAAATTATCTTTTTGTTTTTATATATTCCCGTTGCATACTTTGCATACTTTGAAAACAATAATGCTAGTCGAAGATCGTATTGGCGATCGCTTCGATGTCTACAAGTAGCTCGACAAACGTATAAATAACCGAGCCTATATCTCTCTAGAAGCGTTCAGAGGTGTGTTAATAAAACAAGTTAGTTAATCCGCACTAGAAGCTGCATACCTGTGAAAGAGAGATTGTTTTATCGTTCGCAAAAGTCGCACGAGACGGTTACATATCGCGTGTCGATGCGTTAATTAGATGCTATATCGGGTACTATATGTAATATATTTATATAATGGAGGGAGAGATCGTTTTGCTGATGATTTATACAATGATATATGGCGATTGTTGCTGATCGCGGCCCCGCGATTATACGCGGTTCTCATGACCGCGTCAGTACGCACGTAATGGCAAATGCCCAAATACCGTGATACTTGCATATGTGTTTGAGTAAAAGAAGCCGTGAATGCTTAATCATTCTTGTCTCGTAAGGAAAAGCGTAGGAATTTCATCCTCAATCAGCCAAATGTACTCCAGTGATATCGTCCATCCTCGCTACCTTCAAAGTGTCAGTTGATCGACGAGAGTTTTGATATCGGATCCAGATCAAACCAACGAGCATGACGGCTGAACAATTTGCATCGATGTGTGCAAACGTCGAAGCGATTCAACTGTATTTGTTCACGCTCGCACGTTTGCCACAGGTTTGCATTCGGCTCGAGAGAGCAAAATTCCATGATAAGAATAAATCAATAACTTGAATGAAAATATTTTCAAGATGCAAAACGAATACGGAATGTTTGCCCTTCTTTTGTCTAGAGAAATGATATATTACATTTCAGAAAAGGTAAAACGTGGAAACAAAAGTTTTACATAAAAACTATATGCTATTAGTTCGAAAAGTGATCCAGATTTCTTTTATGAAAAAAAATGCAGATCTCTCGCGAGACAATTTTGTTTCTTCTTTAAACTTAATGAATAAATTGTGCAACATTAATTGAAGAAATCAGATTGCTTCGTATAAAGTACAGTTGAAGACATCTAGCGACTGGACGCCCTGATGGATTTGCGAGTATAAAATGGCTGATCGAGCGAAGCTGGTGCTCGTCTGATAATCGTACGGCAGAGATGATGGTGTCAAACTCTTTTTTCAATCGGTAGAATTTAAACGTTAGTATATTGCAAGTAAAAATGGCACAGGTAGTAAGTAAGTAGTAGTAGTAACAGTATAAATTTACACTAGTATAAATGGTGAGTAGTAGAAACAGGCCTATGTAAGCTCAATCGGACACAAGTAGTACGAAGTTAGATATCTCGAAAGCTCATGATAACAAGAAAGCTGCAAGCGCTTGGTAAGTTGTAATAAAGGGGGTGCAAGCTCGCCGGTTGACTCGCGGTCGGTTAAAGGAAAACCAAAAGAGCGGGGTTGCTCCCTCCTGTTTTACCTTCGGCCAGATTATCGACTGTCGCTGGTCGTCGCTCGAGGGTGACGTGTTCGCTCCCTCGGCCCGCTACTAAAATAGTTTGCTAAGGTTTGACTTTGGATTGACAGCTCGTGAGGTGGAGAGAAATCGCCATCGAGCTGACAAAAGGGCGATAACGTAATGCATAAAATAAGGGGGGGCAAAAATCGGGGAAGCTACCATAATTTTCCGCCGCTAAGGAGAAGAAGAGTATAGTCTTCCGAAGCACAGAGACGTTCTTCATTTCGCCGGATATTTAATATAAAATGTATCCACACCCCTTCTTTCCCAAAAAAAGAAACGAAATAAAGTAAAAAAATGACAATCAAATCAGATAAGCGTTTCCTCCAATATCTATTTTATAAGTTTGGCTATACTTAGGCCTCGTTATGTAGGTATGAGACAATTCCGTCTCTAGCCGAAGCGATACAATTCATTATAGAAATTCATACAGGAGAAAAAGGGCCGGGGCTATTTATACTTGCGCGCACAAGTTATTTCTATTTTCATAAAACTTAATTAGTGCCGATTGGACGTTTTACTGTGCGCAGCGTAATGCTGGTTATTTTGGGACACACATCCCCCACAAAGAGGGTGTCTTCCCACGCGACAACTTTACTAAAAATAGACGCGCGGACTCTGGCAGGATCTGGGCATCTTTCCCCGATCCTTTGTTGCCGTCTCTGTGCCAAACTCTTTCTCGTGACTTATACTCCTTTTTCCCCAACATTCAAGAACTGCCGCCTATGTATTATCGGTGACGTTAAGAACAGTCGGACGCTCTCAGACGGAGACGGTGAACCGAACGCTTTCGCATTGTTTCCGTGCTCTAGATAAACTTCATACTCTTGGCAAAGGTGCTACCAGATCACGTAGCAACTGTCGTACGCTTATTGCATTTCAAGCGCTGACTAACGGCTGCTACAATAAAGTCATGTCTGTCAAAAAGTATCTTTGAAACCGCCGTGTATCTTTTTAGCCGCAAGCTTCGTTCTATCCCTTCGAAGTTCGTTTGGTTTTTATTTCCGGCGTAAAATTTGCCGCTCACCCCGAGAGAACAAGAGTCTACCAAGAGAACACGCGAAAACGTATTTCTAATCAAGTCAGCTTTGACGTGCATTAATGCGAGATAAATATTGAAGCCACATCGATTATTAAACATCAATAATTGATCGTAGACACTCGTAAAAAGGAATCTATTTAATTCTTTTAGGAATAAATCGTCCCCCGTTCGGCGAGAGGAGTATCTCTTCGCGTAATTTTTGTTCTCCATAATCAACGCAGGTGGCAGAGACAGAGCAAGTGGAAAAGACACTTGTCTATCAGTTTTTATCTGCAAACATGCAAGACCTCGCGCTCCTGTGAGCCACATATATCGACGTATAGTTGGCGACGTTATAGAGTGCTCTTTGCTCGCGATGTATGGCACGGAAGGCCAGATGGTCACTATCTGTCAACATCCGCGGCATGAAACATCGCATGCAACGATATTATTATTATTATTCGCGTTACCATAAATTATTATTTAACCCGCGATACATATATGTATATGGACATGCATGCACATCATATACTGCAATTATAAATGCAAGCGAAACTTTCCGTGCCAAACTGCAATCACGACATTGAAATATTTCTCCGTTTCTTCAATTGGAAATACCAAACAATCGAGATCTTTGCGGATCAAGTCATGGGCGGTGGAACGATAAAGTGAACGCTATTCAATCATATTAGCTTTCGAATGATCAAGAGTAATTGCGATATTTCCTTAACTTGTCAGGGATAGCTATTCATTTTAATTGTTCGCACAATGATCGATCAAGCCCGAAGGTTTCCATCAGCCGTGGCCTTTAGAAAAGTGAATAATTCCGCCAGCTAGGATTGAAACGCAACGCTACTAGGGGAAACGATATACATAGACATTGTCGGTCGTAAAACGAGAACACCGCTCCACAGAGAAAGCGCTAATGCCAGATGAGGCAACTCGCGACACGAAGAACGGAATAGAAATCAATCGTACGTGGCGGGGCTTATCGTGTACTTACAAACACTGCAGGTGAGACTGCGACAAGGTGCTCTCGTCGTTTCCGGTTTCACCGTCCGCTTCGAGATAGCGTCCAGACTCGCCGCGTGAGAGACACTCCGTGAAGGACCCTCCGCGGCACCACCCGAGGACGAGTTCCCGCCCTCCCAGAGCCCAGACTTTTGCGAGACCTGAAAGCACAATGCGGTGGTCGGTTAATTTTTATTTTTCGTACCACAAATATTTATTACGGAGATCCCTAATCTAATAATTATCATACACATGATTCGAAATCACTCTCACTTATGTTATATAGAATAAATCGACATTTTACTCTGTAAATTTTAACAGATAAATCTTGTTACTAATAATATAGGACATATGTATTGTGCAAGATTAAGAAATAAGTACACATTGTGTGGTTTTAACATTTCTTTTCAGGTATTTTAATAATTTTACACTTGAGAGGTCAATTAACACGAGAGCAATACGTTAAATTAACACATAAATGTGTTAAACATTTATCACAAAAATTTTAACCGGCATTTTTGTTAACAAGAAAACACAAACTTTCCAACTGTGTAGAAGAGTGAGATAGCCTATGTTTCTCTTTTACTCACGAGAATTTGACGAACTCTTGTGGCCAGTCTCTGATTACAGGGTCTCTAGTCTTGCCGATTAACCGAGCGTCGATAGCGAATCGCGGTTTCTTCTCGTGCTTGTCGCGAACGCGTATCAAGAAAAATTAACTTGCGGAGCGGCACGGGCCGCTAACCGACCCGTTCGACTGTCGCCGCGTGAATGATTTCGTACAATGAGAATAGAATGTTTTCGACCGAAGTGTTTACGGCGCTACGTCATTTCTCGGAACCAGGGCTCGGCGTACGACGCCCAAAATTCCAAGAACTTCCGCGATTGATAAACTTCAATAATCGACGAAATTTCAAACAAATGTAAAATTAATAAATGCACGATTGCACTTCCTCCCCTCCGCAATTATCTCTCACTAACATTTCGACGAGAACTCAAAGTTTCTCTCTGGTATCTAAGGAAAAAAGATTCTCTTTCCGCAATCTTACGTCGACAGCATTCTTAAAATTCGAGGAACTTGGTCGGGGCAACGTTTCGGGCACGTACGGCTGATCCTATTAGCTCGGTTCGATAGCACGACCGGCGGCGTGTCCATTACGTCCAGCCGTCGGGCGTGCTCGTGAAATTGAAACGGACAGAAGGGCTGGGTAGATAGGGGTAGGTGCGAGAGATAGTTTCGCTCTTGCACGCCGCGTGTGTACGAGAGCTCCGACATGTGTTCGGATTGTATGGTAGCAGCTCATGCATGCGCTATTAACTCGCGTATACTCGGGCCATACCGTGCGATAACCCTTTGCCCGTTCCTACGTGTCAGTCGCGTATCGCGAAACTTTGTCCCGGAATTTCGGCGGCTATCGCCGCCACGTGCATGCCGAACGCGCGTTTTGCGCTCATCGTTACGGGGACGTTTCGAGAACGCGATTTAAACGGGCGCTTCCGTCAAAACTCCGCGGACGATTTCACCGAGGTCTCTTTGTTACCGTTTTGTCCAGTGTCTTGCACCCGTATCGTCGTCAACGTTCCGTCCGACGATGTATTCATTAGTTATTTCTTTCAATAATCAAGCTTTTTAGCCGACATTAACCGGCCAGTGTTTTAATTCAGAAAATTTATCGCGACAAATATCACCTCAGCCAGGGCTTGAACCTTGGACTTCCTTTCTCTCTGAGGCATGTGTCAGTGCTCGAATTGGTGGGACGCTCGCCTAGAGAGAAGGAAAGTCCGGGTTCAAGCCCTGGCTGAGGTAATATTTTTCGCAATAAATTTTCTATATTAAAACGCTGGCCGGTTAATGTCGACTAAAAAGCTTGATTATCGTTATCTATTGCTGGCAACTTAAAGGGATTTCTAAGTTATTTGTTTCCTTTCTATTTCTTTTTCTTTTCAGCAGAGCCGGGACCAGGGTGTGGCGAACGAGGCAGAACTTGCCTCGTGTAAAAGATTTGTAGGGGCGCAAAGATGCCGATGCAAATCTTTATAACGTATACTTACCTATGTGCACGATGATTAGATATTCTAGTAAATTAATATTAATTTGTTAAATATAACTAATTAAACGATAAAATTCATAACGCTCTGACGTGTAGTCACGATTCGAAGGAATAAAGGATAGAAGGGCCAGGACAGGATGCTAGTGCCTAAATGATTTTAATATATTGCGGAAAATTTACCTGTATAACTAATTAAAATTATTTCTTTAAATTAAAATTATATGCCTCGGTGGTCAAATTGGTTGAAACGCCCGCCTAGAGTGAAGGGAGGTCCAGGTTCAAACCCTGGCTGAGGTAATATTTTTCGCAATAAATTTTCCGTGTTAAAAGCACATCGCCAGTCACATTCGATGAACTGCTCAATCATGGTTATTTATCTGCTGGCGTCAAATGATTCTTGTTAAAATTACTTTAATTATATTTTATATGCCGTAAAAAAGAAATATTTTTCGTCACTAAGGAGCGCACCGTTTTCTTTGGCCTCGGACGTGAAAACGCCGGGCTTTGCCTCTCAGTACGTTTACCGTATTAACGGCCTGAAAATTTATACACTGCTTTCCACGGACGATTGAGAACGCGGTAAATTTTTTCGCGCACCGCTTGCGTGCACGTGAAAATTAAATAAGCCCTGTCTGTTGCTGCCTCGTTCATACGTATGCATTACTAATGACGCCGCTTAATTACTGCCGGTTAACTGATCGCGCGATGCTCCGGCGGATCGCGTGTTGGCATGGCGAGTTGCTCACATCGCCGCTGGATACGCTTTTTCTACTTACATCGCTCACTCCCTCGGGACTCGCGATGGGAGCGGTGGTGCCGGGCTGTGGTATGATACTCGGGGTAATCGTCGACGTTGTTGCGCCACCGTTGTTGTTGCTGCCGCCCAACGGCGGCGGCGGTAGACCCGGCGGGGGTGTGCCGGTCCTCCCAGGGCCCCAAGATTCCATCATTGTGGGCGAGCCACATGTTAACGGGCTTTAACACATCACATAAGTTTGATTAATCCATCAAAATTCGTTAGAGTCGCGCGCAGCGCACGATCAATCATGTTTACCGTATATCTATTTTAATTTTCGTACAGTCGAGATCGAGACTGCACGGCGCAGAAATTGCTCTACGCTGTTAAGCTGAAACGCTTTAAAGGGGCTGCCTTCTTTACCGCAGGTTAGTCGCGCAAATTTAACCCCTTTTGAGACGCGTTAAAATTTCACCGGAATTACGGCGGGTCTCATTAATAGAGCAAGTGGTTCGTGAATTTTGATACCCCCGGCGCGGGGCTCGAGTCATCCCCGGCCTCGTGAAAGATTCAAGCCACGGCGATGATTATACAGATAAACAATAGCTATTACGAGAAAATCCGCGATGCAATATTTATTTCCGGAGCGCAGACCCCCGGCACGAGTCATGAAAAAAAAAAGCGAAGCAGGTGCCTTCCATTAGCCCGGCCAGGAAATTGTGGCTAGCAATGGCCGACGGTATCCAACAACCCTCTCTCTCTCTCCCCTTACGCCGGGAAATGACGTTAATCCGAAAGATGGTTCGCGCGCGTAGCTCGAGCCCGCAAATGGCCGCATCGCGGGGCGGCGAACGGCGGAGAGAAATTTATTGTATAAATCCTACGGCTATGGGGGTGGTCGATACCGCGATACGGAACGGAGGTCAGACCTCGCGAGTGAAGTGTGTCAGTGTTAGGTCAGACCTGCCAATCGATAAACAACCTGAACCTGCGGCGCGGCGCGACGCGTGCACGCACGTGCGTGCGTGCGCGAGGGCGCGCGAGCGAGCGAATGCGTGGCGTGCATGCGTCGCGGCTGCACCACGACTGCATTCGATGGCGCAGTCCGCGCGTTGGTCGCCGGTGTTGTTTCGTTAAACAATCATCCTTTACCATCGTGTCCGTATGCGCGTTATAGCGTCCGCGGACTGACAGCCCCGCCGCATCGTCCTTTGTATCGGCTTTCAATTCGCAGCCGGCGCATTTGTAACGCGATTAGATTCGATCGGAAGGGAATTACGTGGGGGAACAAAAACGCACGGCGGTACACGTTTGGTTAAGCGAATGTACAAACAGCCAGCCAATTACAGATGCCGTGCGCCGCATAATGCAACCGGCCTTCCATGCGGCGCCCGCAGAAGCCATTCGTGCGCGTCCACAACTATCCAAGTTGGCCGCTTCATTGTGCCAACTGTTTCTTCTATTTAGATAACGCGTAAATAAAAATTAAAAAGAAAACATCAGAAAGCTCGTTACGGTCTGTTAAACGGTCCCCTCGAACGTAGTGCCAATTAGAAAAAGCTTGATTGGGTAAAATTAACGGCCGGTTCAAGCGCGAACGTTTGCGTAATAACCGGCTAGGCGTTTCCACGAAATTTGCGCTAGAAATAACGACGGCACGTTGGACGACGTAATTACAAGTTGTAGAATAGCGCGGGATGTCGCGTTCTCTTAACAGCTTCACTTGACGTGTTTATCCACGATGCGGTTTGCCCGCAGTTTTGCGAGACGTCGCGAACGCGGCGCGCTTAATTACCGTCATTCGGATTTAATTAATTAATTCCGCGCTCGATGTGCCGTGGGGTTTAGCGCGGGATTAGCTCGGCGCTCGATAAAATTGGTCCCCGCCGTCTGGTCTGCTAATTGAACGCAGAAACCGGGGGAGGGTAACAAAACGTGGAAGAGTTGAGGCGAAGGCCGTTTAATTTGCTGAAAAGTTTATGCGGTCGATAGGTCACCAACGCAAGGCTGAATCCGCAGGAATCCTATAACGGCAAGATGTACGTCTACCGATCTTTTCGACGTACTTCCGTGCTGATAGTGTTAAGGACGAGAGCGTGAATGGTATCCGTTTGGAAAGCGTCCAACGGCGTTCGACAGTGGCGAATCGCTGGCGGGGCACGAAACCCTCATAAGGCAACTCGTCGATACACGAGGATAGACTCTCCTTTGTCCAAACCCTCCCGCGAGCTCTCGTTCGAAAACGTTCGCCGCTTACCGCCCTCCCGCCCCCGGGCTCCGCGATTTGTATGCATGAGCGAAGTTTGCAGTGCGAACGGGTCAAGTTCATCATTCAGGTAAATGAAGATACGGTATATCGCGTCAATGTCGCTATGATTTTAAGATTGCGAGGACAATCGGGTAAAACCTTTCATTTAAGGGATTAAAACAAGCAGTTTTAAATCAATAGCAGCTTTCAGGAAAGTGAATCCATACGGAGGACTCTCGCATTGCGTGGAAAAACCCAAGTTTAACCGGCGCTCTCTGAAGGTCAATTAGTTGATTATCATTGAAAACAGTGAATACCCATTGATTCACTGTTATACGATTTTCAGTGGTATACTTATAATTGTGAATTGGTGACCGAGGGGGAAACCGCGGACCAAAATCTTGTACACCAATGCCCACTGATGCCCACTAATGCCCAGTGGGCATTACCTTATCTTGTTATCTTATTTTATCTTATTTTATTTTTCTAATGCCCATTCTACACCTAGGGATGATCCTACTTGTGGCTCATCCGATACCCCTTCTATACCTAAAGCTAATCCTACTTGCAGCTTATCCGAGGGAGTAGTATAAAGTGTAAAAGGTTTACACTTTGGTTGGTTTCCAATCGTACCAAAGTACAACTACAGTGTACCCTTTTACACTTTATACTACTCCCTCGGATAAGCTGCAAGTAGGATTAGCTTTAGGTATAGAAGGGGTATCGGATGTGGTAAAAGTAGGATCATCCCTAGGTGTAGAACGGGCATTACGCCCCAAAAATGCCTAGTAATGCCTAGTAATGCCCAGTAATGCCGCAAATCTGTACACCACAATGCCCTCAGCGGTTACCCCCTCGTTAGCGACTGTTCACTGTTTTCAGCGATAATTCACTGATTGACTTTTAGAGAGCGGCGTCAATTATTCCAAGCGGACACAATGACATTTTTGAAGGGATCGGTCGACAGCTTCTCAAAGACGAAATTATTAGCGGCGAATAGAATTGTGGGCCACGAGAACAGTTGGTTACCGCCAGTGAGATCGATGAATCTTGCGCCGATATTTATCGCAGGTATTTCGCGTTCCGCGTGTCGCAAGGGGCTGAACTTTATCGCCGGATGCGATCAGCCGACTCGCGCGCGCGGTGGATTTATCGACGTTTACAGCATCGAGGTAACCCTGACATCGATTCCCGGCGGGCGTGTTGACAGAGTGATTTCGTAATACAAATAGATACACGTAATAGTGCTGTTTCTTTTCTCGTATGTGTATAAAATAAAGTTTAACCGTTTTCAGGCCGATCTTTAGTGAAAACGCGTTTATAAACCAATACCCGGTGCTATCTTCTAACAGTGCAAAATGCACGTGTCCGAATTTCCACGTCTAATCATGTTTTTCGATTTCTCTCTCTCTCTCTCTCTCCCTCTCCCTATTTTAAGAGCGCACCAACAGATTCAATTCGATCGAAATTAATCGAAACCGTAATTTCTTTCGCAATTCGATACACTCGGCAGGCAGACAAAAAAAGCCATTTGTGTAATTTTCTCGGGCAGAAAAATATCAGGATGCATTCATTCGTTCGCATGTCAATAATTTCCGCGCTGGTGTGTCGTTGGCGCGCCACTGACATTTTCAGCGGAAGCGGCGCGTCCGCAGTGACGATAATTTGTTTTTAAACGAGATAACCGCGCAATTACGGAAGTTTGATACTTGGTCTACATACTCGATGAAACCTGCACATTGACATTATTCCAAATTATTGACCTTTCTAGCACTTTGTGCTGAAAACGCAAATAGAGTAACGTACTTTTCTAGCCGAGCTCTTGCGAGGGGATTGCTTGCTCGAGGGTAACCTTTCCCGTCGCAATCTTATGCACATTCGTATAAAATAGAACAGGTGCCAAGAAAACTTGGTGTCAACATTCTTTTATCAAGGCGCCAAATGCACCACGACAGAGTCTTCCCGACAACCTGAATGAATCTCTTTGGCTGATTGGCGCAAATTCCAATTAAATCGTAGTGCGTTATAACAAATCTATCAATTATACAGTTCCTCTACGCTCTCGCCGTCCTGATACTCGTGCACGCTATCGCTGAATGTGTACGAGAAATTGGAGCGGAAAATTATATTCGCATGCTCGTTGTTTAAATCAGATTCGCGATGGTATAGTCACCCATCACGATTTGAAAATACATTCGGCGCGACGTTTGGTAATTGCACGCGTATTCCGATTAA